CAGGATGGTCCTATGAAGTATACATCACATTGTATCACTTCTGCTTAAAATGACTTGGTTTCTCCACTACCAAGTCTTTAAATCTACCAGTTTCCTTACTAGCTTCTCTGTTCCTTGAATCACTAAGAAATGACCTATTATTCTTAGACTAAACTCTAAGTACCTCTCAGATGTGTACTCCATGGACCTTACCCTTCTTTCCATCTGGATCCTGTGCAAGGATCCCCTCTGCTCTCCTCGCTTCAGATACTGGCCTTCCTTCACTGCTTGGGATTCACCAGTCACCAGGCACTTCATGCCCTCTGCATGTCCTCTTTCCTTCACCCACAATGCTTATCTTCCATCTTTGCTTGTCTGGAATCTCTCACCCTTATCCTCTCAGTTTAAATGGCATTTTCTTCATTGAAGACTCCCCAACCAATCAATTTCCTGTTATCGTCTCTCCTGACTCCCTACATAGCACTTTTCACAACTTACAGTTACATAGTCACACTTGACTGGTGACTGTCTCTGTTAGAATGTAACTTTTATGAAGGTAGGGTCTGGTTTTGTATCCCAATACAATATCAACCTACATCCAGTGCTTATGGCAATGTCTGGCACAGAAGAGATGCCTAATAAATATTCTTTAAAACAAATGCATGAATGAAAGAAGAAAGAAGAAAGCAAGCAAGCAAGCTAGTCTTCCATGAAGCTGTTTCATATAACGTCTCTGTAAAGAGGAACAGGGAGGAGATAAGGGGATATATGTATACGTATAGCTGATTCACTTTGTTATACAGCAGCAACTAACACACCAAAAAACAATTATAGTCCTATAAAGATGTTAAAAAATAAATAAACAAATAAAAATAAAGTGTTTTGGTTAAAAAAAAAGGAACAGGAACAGGTGTTTTAAGCAAACTTATAATTCACGAAAATCTAAATTTACATAAAGAGTATGTTGAAAGGTGATTTTTCCACTTTACAGAAAGATCCATCATAAGATTCTTTAAACAGGCTTTCCAGGTACATGGAAAGTACGATTTCATTGATTAAAACCATATGTTTGCACAGAATTCTTCAGGAAAATATCTTTTATATAAAGCAAGGTTGACCTATAAGCAATTTCCTTAAGGCATCTAGCCCAGAATGGCCAACTCTCAAATTTCCTAGGTAATAGATAATGGGAGGCCTGGAATGCAGTGGATATTTGAAACCCTAGAATGCAAAGCAGTAATTTCAGCCATTTAAGTCTGCATGACTTTGCTCACAAAAATAGCTAATGGGGAGAGGAATCAGTGTATTTGAATCTCCCCAACTTCTCTCTCTGTATGTCAGTGAAGGTAAGAATGGCTGTGAAATGACCCCCAAAGAGGCTGCCATGAAAGGAGAACACAGGCTTGTAAAATTCACTAGATTGATGCTTTTCTCCCAACTCCCCCCACCACCACTACCACCACTGATAATTAAGTTGTCTCATTGCAAAACTGGAAAAAGAATTCAGTGTTTTAATAAATAAAAGGCAATTAACTTCTCTGAGTTTCAGTTTCCTCATCTTAACAATGTGGGAGCCCTTTTGAAGTTTATTGTCTCATAATTCTATTCTTGAACCTACTCAAACTTTACAAAATAAAGTAATTGGTGGCTGCTCTCTGTCTAATGAAATAAATTTCACAGCTATTTCTGCCCTTCTTACTGGAAACTTTAATAAATGATCATGAACTTTAAATCAAAACATAATATTTATAGAATTGGTTGAATGGACTATTATTGATGGTTCTTGCTTAGAAGAAAATGTTTGGCAGAATTTACTTACAACTAACCTTTTCTTTATCAAACATATCCCACTCTAATGGAAGAATAGTAAGCTATTCTCAAACTGCAGTACAAGTGAAATCTTTTAGCTGCAGGAAGGAAAAAGCAATACGTTGGTTGCGGTCATAAAGATCAAGGTCGACTAGGGTATAGGTTAGTTTTACCCTTCAAAAATCAGACTGCTTTCATTCAGAAAATCTAAAACCTCCAAATTTACAAGAAAATATTTGAGACATGGGGGAAAAACAAGCCTAAAATCTGTAGAGATCATGGCAACAATTTTGCCTTCATCTGCTTCCTGAGGCATTATTTTACCCTCACTCCCCACACTTATGATTTTTTTTTTGTTTCAGTATTATGATATTTAGTGACATCTTGAGGGAAAATTATTTTTCTAAGTGGTGTACTAAAGTATTCTCACATAAAGGAATTTATAGTAATAATGTTGATCCCTAGGACTCTTCTGCGTGGGTCTGAAAAGCTAAAGAATGTATTCATGGAAACACATTATTTAGATATCTCCTGCTTTGTAGGTTAAAGCGAGATCTTGAATATATTAACAAATCTGAATTATTTGAAAGTTAATGTTCTCATATTTTGTCTGTATTTTTCTCTCTTTCCTATTTACTTCTGTGAATGGGATCAGTTCATTTCTTCAGTGAGAAAAAGGAATAGATTCAGAAAAGGAGGCAGGAAAAAGGAAGAAAACAAACAAACAAAAAGAAAGGATGATGGAGTTAAAGCTGATGGCTGATCAACTGAGATCGCCAAACTAGACTGGATGCAGCAAAAGGACTGAAGTAGGTGCAGAGGCAGGTGGAGAGATGGCAATGGGGAGAGAGGAAGTTCATGAAAGAGACGTTGCTAATTGAAATTATAATGGAAAAATATGCAGAAGAGTCAAGGCTGGGAGAGGCTTCTGAGGAAAGCAGGATGCACTCTGTGCTAGGCTAACACCAAGGCTATGGATGTTAGCAGTGCCATCTTCCATGTGTGATACTCAGCGCTGCCACTTGACCAATAATCTGCACTTTGGGTTGAAATGCAATCCAGAAAGAGACAAATATGTACCCATTTTTATGGAATTCTGATGAAGACAGGAATTTCTTACAAGTTTATAATTCAGGTCCTCGTGTGAGGAGATTCTGAGTCACTGTGTGTTGGGAGGCTAGGGGAGGGGGATGGGAGCAGGGGAAGGGGGCAGTCAACAGCACATGCGTAATTTGAAAAATGTCCTCAGGTTGGATAGATGGAAGGATGGATGGATACATAGATACATACAAAGAATCATAGATAGAATGAGTAAGCTAAAGGTGTAAACACACACGCACACTTAGTTAAGTTTGTAGCTATCTAATAAGAAACAAGGGACACATGGGATTTCTTTAGATTTAAAAAGAGTCTTTACCTTAACTGAAGACTATGCATGATTGAGTGACTTTTATCCCTGGTTATCAGCAGAGCATCAGTCATTTTATTTTTTCATGTATGTTAATACCAAGACTATCGGAGATTGCTTCCAAAGAAAACATCTATTGGTAAAAATGCCTATCATTTAAGAATATGTTCTACCAATAATTAATTGCTGCTTTTTTTTTTTTTCATTTCAAATGTGCAGTTTCATTTTCCCAAAAGTGCTAAGGAAGCACAGTGTTCTTTTAAAGTATCATAATTGCAGGGAACCCTAGTGTACTATTGTTTGGAATGCAAATTGGTACAGCCAGTATGGAAAACAATGTGGAGGTTCCTCAAAAAATTAAAACTAGAACTATCATATAATCCAGCAATCCCGCTTTTAGGTGTATATCCCAAGGAGTTGAAATTAGGATCTTGCAGAGATATCTGTACTTCTAAGTTCATTGCAACATTATTCATGATAGCCAAGATATGGAAACAATCTAAGTGTCCATCAAGATGAATGGGTAAAGAAGATGTGGTATATGTATACAATGGAATATTATTCAGCCATGACAAAGAAGGAAATTGTGCCATTTGTGACAACTTGGATGAATCTTGAGGGCATCATGCTAAGTGAAATAAGTCAGACAGAGAAACAGATAACTGTACCATGTCACTTATATGTGGAATCTAAAAAAGACAAACTCAGAGAAATAAGTAAAGTGGTGGTTATCAGGGGTTGGGAGGTAGGGAAATGGGAAATGTTGGTCAAAGGGTACAGACTTCCAGGTATACTATTAATAAGTTTGGGAATCTAATGTACAGCATGATGGTTATAGCTAATAACACTGTATCATGTACTTGAATGTTGCTTAGAGTTGATCTTAAATGTTCTCACCACAAAAAAGAAATGGTAACTTCATGACAGGATGGAGGTGGTAGCTAATACTATGGTGGTGATTCTTTTCTAATTTATAAATGTAGCAAATCAATACATTCTACATCTTAAATTTACACAGTGTTCATGTGCCAATTATATCTCATTAAAGCTGGAGGAGAAAAATAAAATCACCACTGTGCCCAGTTAACCACACTTACGCCAAGCACCGAGGAGGGCTCTTAGCACACTGACCTTGGGCCGATTTGGGAAGCCTGCAACTACATGGGAGAGTGCATGTGGCCTGAAGGAAAATGTGCAGTGTAGGAGGTGACCCACGTTCTAATCCCAGTCCTGCCCTGAACTTGTTGGGTGGTCTTGGTCAAGGCCCAGGGGCTCTCAGAGCTTTTGATTCTTCATTTTAAGATATGAATATTGAATTAGGTGTTCAGTAAAGTCCCTTGCAGCACTCTCACTATGTAATCCCATGAGTTTAATCTTCAATGTCAATGCCACCTGGAGCGCTGGAGGCCTATTTAGGAGGTCGGTCAGTGTTTAGCTATATGGGAACAACAACCTTTCAGTTCTTTAATCTCTACTGAATTAATGGTTTGAAATTTTTAGTCTCTAATCACATGATTTTGTGCAGACTGCACAGTCAATAGAAGGAAGGAAAGAAGGAAGAGAGGAAAAGGAGGGGACTTCAGTAACTGTATTATTTTTCTGATCTCAGCATCTTATTTTAATTCCATTTTATGTGAAATGATCTCGTATTGCTTAGAATAAAGAATTTTAATTCCATTTTATGTGAAATGATCTTGTATTGCTTAGAATGAAGAATTTAATGAATTCATCTCATAAATATCTTCAACTAACCACGAAAAGAGCGTAATTATCATTAACAGTCATCTTCTCCATGTTTCACTAGATTTGGAAAGAAGAAAGATGATAAGGGTGGAAAGGCTGAGCAGAAAGGTCCTCTGAAGCATGGTGGCCTGAGAGAAGAGGAGCTGGAAAAAATGAAAGAAGAACGTGAGAGGTGAGTAGAAATGCTGGGCCTCTTATTTTATTTTCATGCGTGGTCTCTGTTAACTTGGTTATATCATCAGTCAGCTGGAGAAGTCTTATTTTAAGAAGCATAAAGGTTGACTGATACAAAAGGAGAGATACCTGATATAAATGGAATCTGCTTTTTAGGGAATTTTTATTATATTTTGAGAAGAAATTAACTTCATGTTTTTATCATGTCGGTACTTATAATTCCATGATGTGCTACCCCCACTTTTGACTATATCAATGTATATGTTCCCTATGGTTTAAATAAGGAGTATTTTGTTTTCTGGGTTTTTTTTTTTTTAATAAAAAGGTCATCTGGTTATTGATGTTTAGAGCTATCAAATTTCCATAGTCTGTTCCTAATTTTTGTCAGGCTGTTGTATACCTTCTTAATTTTATTCTGCTAAGCCCATTTGGGTACTGTAATTTGAGAAGTACATGCCCTTCATTTTTAAAAAGCCAGTGCCTTTTATTAGGCCATCAGCAAGTTGCAAAGTATGTTGCCCATCTGTTAAAGGGCCGGTTTCATTTACTGAAATAATGACAGTTTGCAAGGGCTGAATTCTTCTATTTGAGGAGCTTAATGTTCCATTAGGACAAGAGGTCCTTCACATATCTTTGATGTTAACTCTGGCATTTATCCCAAGTAGATGTATAAATGTCTGATTTTGAAACATGTAAGTGAATATTCATATTTCTCCTGACAATTCTTTGCCTTCACAACCAAATGAAGCCTGGAGAAAGACTGAGATTATTACATAATTTTAAGTATTTGATGCTGACTTGATCATGTATGAAGTCAGATTTGTGCAAATGTTTCCTTGCTTATTAGTAATAATAGTTCTTGTCGTTTTTAAAAAGTCAGTTCTTGAACTTATTTTAATATTCTAGCATGTGTACTAGGAAAATCATACTTCTTATTCATTGCGTTTTCTGGCACAGAGAAGGCTAAGAGTATCTAACTGTTAAGCTTTGACCCCTATCTTGTGGTCTGTTCCCATTGAGAAGGCTGACTTTATCAATAGCAAGAGAAAAACCCTATTTAGTCCTTTCTTGTTTTTGAGAGGTTGATAAGCTCAGTTCCAGGGTCAGTGGAGCAGGAAAAAAGAAATCAAGTGCTTTCCATTGTTGTTGACTATTCACCTGTCAGAGTTGCCCCAAAGAGAAGAAAGATGAATTCTCCATCATAGCCCAAGGTTCAGTAATCCTGTAATGTAAAATGTAATTCAGGCTAAGATTTTAATGCATCTATTGGCAAAGACAGCTGTGCGGTGAGACCATGCCATAGGTCTTTACTGCTCCCCTAACTTCACTTTCTGAGGTACCACATTCTTGCCTCATCTTCAGGAAACTGAGCTATTTGCTAGAATGCAGACTTCACATTTTTTGCAGCTCAACACTTGCTTGGGGTTGGGGGGTTTCCTGTTAGTAGCTAGGGAACTCTGTGCCAGCTAGAAAATTGATAACTCATAAAATAAGGTGGGTTGTCTTTAAGCAAGAGTTCATTTCCTTTCTGGTTTTGCCTTTAGGAAGCAGGTGCCTGAGGAGTTTTGTTCTTAAAAGCGGAACTGTAAACTCACCTCGGCTGGTTGTATGGGCTTCAGGTCCAATTTTCTTAAAATATGTTTGGTCAAAATATTGAAAGAACTATACTATTAGCCTCCACTTATGCCACTTCCTGCACATGAACACGTAAAACACATCTGATATGGGTTTCCTAGAGACAACATTGTCTCAATCATGTACAAGGGGAAAGAGTGGGAGAAGTTGATGTTATGGTTGGGTGCTATAGAATTAATGGCCAAGGATATTTCGACAGCTCAGGGACTGAAGACCATAGAGGGTGGAGTGAAGGTTAAACATTTGACATTGCTCCCAACCCTGCAGTCCCATTTCTTGGCTCTCCATCATCCATTGGAAACAATTCACAACTCTTAAAGAACTCAGCAGATGTATCACTCTTCATGGCCTGGCCACAGGAAGAAAAACAATAGAATAAAATAGGAAATAGTGTATACAAGTTCACAAAGTTGTCTTTTGTTCTAATACATTTAGAATTTGTTACCTAAAGATGATTCAAGCCATCCAGTTGCTTACTTGCTTCATCCTAGTTGTCATAGATATAATAGTTTTTCATCAACATATTCCTTTTTCAAAGAGTTTAAAGCACTTAAATATAATATATACTGTATATCACTGAAGCCAGCTTGCACCAGTTTATGAAAGATGATTATTAAGCTTTCAAGAATTCTGTGAGCTGGTTGCTAAACCGTTGGTAGCTTGAAATTGGTCATGGTGGGAGTATTTACACCACAGAAACTGGCAGGCGATGTTAAACTGGGTTTGTTTTTTTCAAAGAGCCAGTTCACTGACACACCGCTGAGGGTCCATACCAATTCTATTTAGTGTATAACCAGGAAGAAGTTATCAAAAATAGAGGCAAAAAAAAAAAAAAAAAAAAAAAAAAAAAAAAAAAAAATACTCATCCAAATCAAAACACATGACTTCTTATAGATAGCTATGTTTCTCAATATGGCCCATGGGCCACCTGCATCAGAATGAATGACTTGGGGAGCTTGTTAAAAAGTGAAAATTCTTGAGTCCCACACCAGACTTGCAGAATCAGAATCTTGGAAGTTAGAGTTCAGGAATCTGTGCTTAATAGTTACACCCAAAATGACTCTTCAGCAGTCTGAGAATCACTGAGTTTGAGGGACAAGATTTAGCTGGAACATTAGATTAAACTCTTCTCATTCTATGAAAAATGATGTACAGATTTTTTTCCCAGGAGGATTGAATAACCCAGTATAAAAACATCGCCATCTTTCTTACATGCCCTCTCTGAAGCATCCTACCTTACTTGCACACTTTTTATAAACAAAAGAGGAACACTTGCCAATGCTCACTCACCTAAGGGAATATGGATCTTTCCCCACCCCATCCCCTCATGTGCACAAAACTTACAAAGATGATAAGTTTATTAAGAAATTTTTGGAAACATAAAACGTGTAAAGAAGATTATTAAAATCATGCATAATTCTACCATAATTCCATAACCACTATTAATATTTTATGATATTTTTACTATATTTCTTTTGTTTGAAAACTTGGTATTCATACTGCATATAGTTACTTTTTTCACAGAATTCCCATTATATTGTGAGCATTTCCCCATGTCATTAATGTTTTGAAATTATGTCATTTTGGTGACTAATATTCCGTGAGATCAGTATATCATAATTCATTTATCTTCTGTTGTCTTCAAATGTATAGTCTATTTCCATTTTTCACTGTTTCAAGTAATACCTTGATGAGCATCCAAATACAAAAGTCCTTATAATTCCCTCTTAAATCATATAATTTGAATGTCAATTCCTTGTAACTATTTTACTCGAGGGTTAATCTAACCTCAACTCTAAATTTTAGGGTTATATCATTCCTCTCATTATTTTTCTTATGATTTCCATAGCTTGTTTTAATTTGCCTATGTATCTAACTCCAGATAGGGCATTGTTTTGGTGATATATATGAATATTTTATTCAAAGCTATAGCTATGGAAAGGTCAAAAAAGCCACAACTGGTGGATTGAGTTATTAGATTAGATTGAAGGAATGCAGAGTCTAGAACAGAGATTCTCAGTTCTTCGGGGGGTGGGGGGAGGTATGGAGGATGGAAATTTGCTCCCCAAGGAACATTTAGCTATATCTGGAAACATGTTTGTTTGTCAGAGCTTTGGAGGGGGTGTGGGGAGTGAGTTGCCACCACTGTGTACTGGGTAGAGGCCAGGGATAAGGCTACACATCCTACAATGCATAAGACAGTCCCCGTCCTCAAACAATGAGTTATCCAACTCAAACTGTCAATGATGTGGAGACTGAAAATCCCTGTTCTAATCTGTGGACTTCACAAAGAGTAGGGGTACTACCTTCTGGACATTAGAATTGTATTTTCTCATGATACCCTGTGGCCATTGCAGAGAGATATACACCAGATCTTGTAACCCTAGAAGGATTATTAGCTAATTGAGAAACTGTACCCAAATATTGCTAATGAATATTCCATCAATATAGGCTTGCAAGAAAAAAGTTTTCCTCAAAAATTCATTTTTAACGCTGGCCTGCTGAGCATTGGCATCAGTGATGGTACCCATTGATCAGATTTTGAATTCCAAGAAGCTGCAGGGGTTGACAGTGTGTCTGATGACAGAATCATCTGGAACAATGAACTGAATCAAACATAAAGGAACTTAATAGGAACAAATGTAAAGTCTTGCTTTTAGGTCCAAAAAGGAACTGTACAAGCACAGGATGTGGAACGTTTGACTTAATACCAAATATATGAAAAATTTGCCTGATGGTTTTAGTTGAGGGTAAGCTTAGCGTGAGTCAACATGGGGATGTGCCTGCCAGAAACTTAATCCAGTCCTAGGCTACAGAAGTTCATTTACAAAAGTGAAGGAAGAAACAATAATTTCTATTTTATACTGCTCAGATCACACCTGAAATACCCTAAGCCTGTCTCACACACAGAAAATGGCAGCACTAAATCCATGTCTCCTGAAAAATATGGAAGGACCTGGGAATGCATAGCCTGCAGAGTTAAGACTTAGTTGATGTCACATGATTAAAGAACATTACATAGAAGAGGAATTAAACGTATTTTATAGCATCCATTCGCTTTCCATTCTCTCTCTCTACTTATTCATCCATTCATTTATTTTCTTGAAGATTCTAAAAAGGAATTATTTTAAGAGAGGTAGCCTTGGGCTTCCCTGGTGGCGCAGTGGTTGAGAGTCCGCCTTCCGATGCAGGGGACACGGGTTCGTGCCCCGGTCCGGGAAGATCCCACATGCCGCGGAGCGACTGGGCCCGTGAGCCATGGCCACTGAGCCTGCGCGTCCGGACCCTGTGCTCCGCAACGGGAGAGGCCACAACGGTGAGAGGTCCGCGTACCGCAAAAAAAAAAAAAAAAAAAAAAAAAAA